TAATTTTTCTAATCATCTTATGCAGATGGCCAGGACTAAGACCGCTTCTCACACTCATGAAATCCCTGCACGGAAGAAAAGAAAGGGCCAAGCATCATCGGATCCACCTCCTAGTGACTCAGAGTCAGATGAGCAGGAAACTCCACAAGCTGCGGCTGCGATCCGATTGGACAGGCAGCGATTTCTCACCAAGTCCAAACAACAAAGATACTTGGAGCTGGAACCAAGACAGATAGTTACTGAGAGAAGAGTGGAGCTGAATGCAGGTGAATCTGATGAGTTCAACAATGAAATAAAGAGGAGGAAATGGACTAAGCTGGCAACTCCGGAAAAGAAGTATAGTGAGGAAATCATTAGGGAGTTTTATGCCAACGCTCTTCCCTTACAGAATCGTGATCAAACACGAAAAAGTTGGGTGAGAGGGACTCAAGTCTACTACCATAGGGATGCCATTAATGATTTTCTGGGCAACCCTTATTCTTTAGGAGGTGATGGGCGGGACGGATATGGAAGACTGAAGAATGCCTGCAGTTTTAAAGCCGATGAAGTTGCAGAGCGCCTCTGTTTACCGGGTTGCACTTACACTTTAGGTGCTTCAGGAAAACCGGTCAAGATACTCCGCAAGAATCTGAACACTCTTGCTCGCATATGGCAAAATTTCTTGTATTGCAATGTCTTCCCCACGATGCACATTTCAGATTTGACTATGCCACGAGCAACGTTGCTGTACTCTATTATGAATAAGACTGGAGTGGATGTGGCCACTATCATTTCAAATGAGATCCACCGTGTTGTTCTGTCTACACCATCTCCAACTGGCGTCTCAAAACCATTGGGTTTTCCAGGACTTATCATGGGATTGTGCCGAGCTGCTCGTGCTACGGTTCCTAGCCACTTAAGCAAAACCATCCGCCCTCCCATTAATGCTTCTTATATCAAGACTCACTGCAAGAATGCACAGCAGGGTAGCACTTCACAACCAGGATCACAAAGACATGGGCAGGCATCTTCTTCTTCACAAGTGGCTAGTTCAGCATTCTTGGCTGCACACTTTCATCACATTGAACAACAAAATCTAGCAAATCACTTGGCACTAATGTCTATCAACACCAGCTTATACCATGCACATCAGCAACAATTCTATGGAGGTCCTCTTTTCCAGTGGCCATCCCCTGAAACATTTCAACAGCAATTCCAATGGCCTGGGGACAGTCCTAATTTTCCAGGAGAGGAGGAGCAATTTGAACAAGAAGAAGAAGCAGAGAATGAAGATGGAGGAGAGGATGATTGAAGGATTTCCTGAGAATTTTAATCTATTACATTTTAGTATTTTTAATTCTAGTTCTACTTCTTTTGTTGCAGTTTACTTTTCAGTCCCTTAGTTATGTTTCTATCTGTTGCTTGGTAAGTACTCTTTTGTGGTGAACCTGAGTCACTGCATGGTTTTAAAAAAATGGTTTTGCTGGAATTGTTAATATATGGTATGTTTTGTGTTCACTAATGGTGATAACAAATTCTTTTTTTGGGATTTAAATTGACAATCTTTCTGGAATGAGCAATTTCATGGTTCAAGTTTTCATTGAGCATTGTTTCTAATCTGGAAGTTTTCTCTGTTACACAAATGGTTGTACATTCTTGACTTAAATTGTGTGCTTCAAGTTGTTCAAGTGAAATCAAAATGAATTTGAAGTTGTTGAGATCTAGAGCACTTAACCAAACCGTGTAAGTGAGTGAGCCAAACAGTCAATTCATTTATTGAGAGTCATCACTAATTCATGCGGTCAGTTTTGTTTGAGTCTTTTATGAGTCACAGTTGGGTTACACATGGAATCACCTAAGGCAATTGTGTATTATACTTAGCCCAGTAGCCAAAAAGCCAACCCATGAACTACATTAACTTTTGATCATCAGCCGTTTTGAGCCTATACAGAACCCTTGAGCTTACATAGAAAAACCATGACTGTCCTTAAGCCTTGATTGGTAAGAGACATTTTCATGAAACAAGTGGGTTTGTGCCAAGTTGGGGGTAACTGTACATAAAGTTCATGTGGCTACACTTGTACAGGCAAAGTACAATGTCAAAAAGAAAACAAAACAAAACAAAAGAAAGAAGTTACATTTAGGGTTCCTTGTTACCATTCCTTTGATCAAATGCATCCAAAAAAAAAAAAAAAAAAAAAAAAAAAAAAAAAAAAGAGAGAAGGAGGAACCAATAAATACAGTCAAGAGGGATGAAATAGAAGGAGCAAGAGAGTTCAAGCAAAAACAAGGATTTGGTAAAAACTCATATGAGTGAAAATGTTCTCTTACCAACCAGGCCTCTCAATTCCCAAAGAAAAACCAAGTTCTCTTTTAGCCAGGCCACATTAAAACCCTCTAAAAGTCCTTAGTGATCCATGTTTAGCTCTAACAATAGACTTGTGGGAGACAGGTAACAAAGCAGACTTAGTGTGTTTTAGTGCATGAAAAGAGAGAAACACTCACCCTTCACATCATATTAATGAGAGATATACAATTGTGAGGAAATTCTTAGTGCTCTAGATTGAAAGCAATGGAAAATGAGTGGAAATTTCCCTTGAATATATTTGAGGTTCATAATTTTGGTTATCATGTGGGCACCGTCTGTAGTAACTTGCATGTAAACACTGGATTCTGCAAACAACTCTCATTGGACTTTTGAAACCCATGTAAATGCATTAACATATTTTTTGTGTGTGAAACTTAAGTGATTCACCAGGTACATATGCTAATATACTTCTGTTTAGTAATCAAAACTTTTTGTTTGAGGACAAACAAATTTCTAAGTTGGGGGTAGGCGTCACTAACCATTCATACAAATCAAATTTGGTTTTAAAAGGCACTACGGAGCTCATTCCAATATTGGATTGAGGGCTCATGATTTATTCTCCTTTCTTTTTCTAAGGAGGTCCACTAATACCTAGCATGCTCTTTCATTTTTGTATGCCACTACTAAATGAGAATTGAGTTCTGCTAAATTCATTTTTGTATGTCACTGCTAAATGAGTATTAGTTTGATTGTTAATTTCATTTTTTTGTTCATGTTTTTGGTGACCATTATAGAGACACTGATGCAATAATCAGCAAACTAGGGAAGCTTAAGTTGGTATTTGGTATGTTAATTTCCAAAGCCCTGCTTTCAATGGAATTGAAACTTTTTAATTTATTCATTAGAATATCAAGCATGTAGATTACAAACTTGTGTTTATGTCTAATTTAGTCCCAGAAGATGGTGATGCTCCAACGAAGCTTGATGTTTACAATTTCAAAGGCCTAGGTGTAGCACTTGCTATGTATAATGTTGATGAGGTTTGCTTCATTTCATTTTTTTAACACGTACTATCCCTTAGTGCAATTGCATGTATGCTACTCTGTATTCTCTACCTGACTTTTCTTTCACTTCAAAGACATGATAACTAGTGCAGATGAATGCAAACTTGGGATGGAGTAGACAATATGTCAGGGAACTGAGATGAATAGTTTGTTTGTTTGCATAATTGTATCCATTGTTTATTTCTTCACTGTCTTAATGAATGTCTCATCATAAAAATGAATTATTGCCTCACTATGAATTATTTGAGAATTTATTTTAGCTTCATAGCTTATATATCAAATTAAAAATACAACTTCCTTGTATCATATGAAACTAACATTCCTTTTCTCTTTTTGTTTGGGTGTGTGTAGACTTATTCCTTCTATATCATATCCTTCCATGCTTGAGTATAAATTTTACTGATTGGAAGACAAAAAAGTATTAGTTCATAACCAAAAGCTTTCTAATGGATCCTTGAGGTATAAAAAGTTTTCCTATTTTAAATAAACATCCCTCAAGAAGATAGAATTCATCAAAAGGCTTTTAGAGGCACTTGGCATAAGTGAATTAAAACTCCTTTATATTATCAAATCTAAGAATTTAAGAGCTCAAGGTGAAGAGTATTGTATGCCTTCTAGTGAGAGTATCAACCACTACATTATTCTTTCCCTTCTTATATTTGATAATATAAGGAAATTGCTCTAGATATTCCACTCACTTTGCATGCCTTTTATTCAACTTCCCTTGCCCTCAAATGTACCTAAGTGACTAATGATCGATATGTATGATGAATTCTTTAGTCACTAAGTAGTGCTCCCAAACTTGGAGGGCTCTAATAACGGCATACAACTCTTTGTTATAGGTAGAATAATTCAAGGTGGCCCGTGAATTTTTTCACTAAACTAAACAATTGGGTGGCCCCCTTGAAGTAGCACGACACCTATGCCAAAATCGGATGCATAACATTCTAGGTCAAAGGTCTAACAAAGTTTGGAAGAGTTAGAATGAGTGCATTGGTGAGTTTCTCTTTTAGATTTTTAAAAGCTTTTTCTTGGGCTTCACCCCAAATTAATTGTACATCCTTCTTAACACGTTCATTAAGAGGGAATGCAAGTGTGGAGAAGTCTTTCACAAATCTTCTATAAAAGCTTGCTAAACCATGAAAGCTTCTAACTTTTCCAACACTTTTTGGGTGGGTCAATCTTGGATGACCTTTATTTTCTTGAGCTCAACATGTACTCCCTCTTTGCCAACTATGAATCTCAAAAAATTTACTTGATCTTGACAAGAAATGCATTTCTCAAAGTTGGCATAGAGGTGGTTGTCCCTAAGAATTATTAAGACTTGCCTTAGATGTCCAAGATGCTCACCTAAGGTTTTGCTATATATAGGGATGTCATCAAAATAAACCACTATAAATTTTCCTATGCAATCCCTAAGTATATGATTCATTAGACGTATTAAGGTACTAGAGGCATTAGTGAGGCCAAAAGGCGTCACTAACCATTCATACAAATCAAATTTGGTTTTAAAAGGCACTACGGAGCTCATTCCAATATTGGATTGAGGGCTCATGATTTATTCTCCTTTCTTTTTCTAAGGAGGTCCACTAATACCTAGCATGCTCTTTCATTTTTGTATGCCACTACTAAATGAGAATTGAGTTCTGCTACAAATCTATACAAAAGTGGGTCTCACCTCCACCTCTCCTATCCTCTGTAACATAGATAGAGGCATAAGGTTGATGCTGGCCCCTAAATCCAATAATGCCTTGCCCACAGAGAGATTTGCCAATGGTGACTGGCAAAGTGAAGCTCCCTGGATCTCTGGATTTTTGTGGAAGTGACTTTTGAATTATAGCACTGCAACCTGCCTCTAATTCCACTGTCTCATCCTCATGAAGTTTTCTTTTCTTTGTCAAAAGCTCTTTCATAAATCTTGCATAAGATGGCATTTGTTCTAAGGCTTCTGCAAAAGGTATGTTGATTTGTAGTCTCTTGATTATGTCAAGGAACCTTGCAAACTGCCTTTCCTTATCTTTCTTTGATGGAGCATGTGGATAAGGTAGATTCTTCACCGGAGGAGGCCTAACAACTTCTTTCCCTTTCTTCTTACTCCCCTCTTTCACATCTCCATCTCTTCTCTCATTTTTCTCACTCTCTTTTTCATTTTTTTCTATTTTTTCTGCCTCTTTATTCAACTCCACCTCTTTCTCACTTTCAAACTCAACTTCACTCTTTTCTTTATCTTTCTCATCTTTATTTTCTCTCAAATTATCACCAATCCCCTTTCCTATCACAGTGCCTCTCCTTGTTGTAATTGACTGACAATGCTCCTTAGGATTGACCTGTGTATTGGCTGAGAAATTGTTGTTTTGTTGTTCTGCCAACTGTTTAGCTAACTGCCCTATTTGCACTTCCAGATTTCTGATAGAAGCTTCAGTATTTTTCTGGTTGGTTGTAGAGACCTGCATAAATTGTGTAAGAGCTTCCTCCATCTTTGATAACCTGTCCGGCTGATAGGAAGGTTGATTTTGATATGGTTTCTGTGGAGGTTGCCTTTGTGATGGCCCTGCTTCTTGCTTCCACCCAGAATACTGATTTTGATTGTTCCTCCAGCCTTGATTTTGATTATAATTGCTAGAGAAATTGCCTTGCCTCACTGAGTTGTTCATATAATTAACTTCTTCCTCCTGGTCTGGTTCAGTCATGGTACAATGCCCATTTGGATGATCACCTGCACAAAAATCGCATCTCATTTCTAAGGAGGTCCACTAATACCTAGCATGCTCTTTCATTTTTGTATGCCACTACTAAATGAGAATTGAGTTCTGCTAAATTCATTTTTGTATGTCACTGCTAAATGAGTATTAGTTTGATTGTTAATTTCATTTTTTTGTTCATGTTTTTGGTGACCATTATAGAGACACTGATGCAATAATCAGCAAACTAGGGAAGCTTAAGTTGGTATTTGGTATGTTAATTTCCAAAGCCCTGCTTTCAATGGAATTGAAACTTTTTAATTTATTCATTAGAATATCAAGCATGTAGATTACAAACTTGTGTTTATGTCTAATTTAGTCCCAGAAGATGGTGATGCTCCAACGAAGCTTGATGTTTACAATTTCAAAGGCCTAGGTGTAGCACTTGCTATGTATAATGTTGATGAGGTTTGCTTCATTTCATTTTTTTAACACGTACTATCCCTTAGTGCAATTGCATGTATGCTACTCTGTATTCTCTACCTGACTTTTCTTTCACTTCAAAGACATGATAACTAGTGCAGATGAATGCAAACTTGGGATGGAGTAGACAATATGTCAGGGAACTGAGATGAATAGTTTGTTTGTTTGCATAATTGTATCCATTGTTTATTTCTTCACTGTCTTAATGAATGTCTCATCATAAAAATGAATTATTGCCTCACTATGAATTATTTGAGAATTTATTTTAGCTTCATAGCTTATATATCAAATTAAAAATACAACTTCCTTGTATCATATGAAACTAACATTCCTTTTCTCTTTTTGTTTGGGTGTGTGTAGACTTATTCCTTCTATATCATATCCTTCCATGCTTGAGTATAAATTTTACTGATTGGAAGACAAAAAAGTATTAGTTCAATTATCAAATCTAAGAATTTAAGAGCTCAAGGTGAAGAGTATTGTATGCCTTCTAGTGAGAGTATCAACCACTACATTATTCTTTCCCTTCTTATATTTGATAATATAAGGAAATTGCTCTAGATATTCCACTCACTTTGCATGCCTTTTATTCAACTTCCCTTGCCCTCAAATGTACCTAAGTGACTAATGATCGATATGTATGATGAATTCTTTAGTCACTAAGTAGTGCTCCCAAACTTGGAGGGCTCTAATAACGGCATACAACTCTTTGTTATAGGTAGAATAATTCAAGGTGGCCCGTGAATTTTTTCACTAAACTAAACAATTGGGTGGCCCCCTTGAAGTAGCACGACACCTATGCCAAAATCGGATGCATAACATTCTAGGTCAAAGGTCTAACAAAGTTTGGAAGAGTTAGAATGAGTGCATTGGTGAGTTTCTCTTTTAGATTTTTAAAAGCTTTTTCTTGGGCTTCACCCCAAATTAATTGTACATCCTTCTTAACACGTTCATTAAGAGGGAATGCAAGTGTGGAGAAGTCTTTCACAAATCTTCTATAAAAGCTTGCTAAACCATGAAAGCTTCTAACTTTTCCAACACTTTTTGGGTGGGTCAATCTTGGATGACCTTTATTTTCTTGAGCTCAACATGTACTCCCTCTTTGCCAACTATGAATCTCAAAAAATTTACTTGATCTTGACAAGAAATGCATTTCTCAAAGTTGGCATAGAGGTGGTTGTCCCTAAGAATTATTAAGACTTGCCTTAGATGTCCAAGATGCTCACCTAAGGTTTTGCTATATATAGGGATGTCATCAAAATAAACCACTATAAATTTTCCTATGCAATCCCTAAGTATATGATTCATTAGACGCATTAAGGTACTAGAGGCATTAGTGAGGCCAAAAGGCGTCACTAACCATTCATACAAATCAAATTTGGTTTTAAAAGGCACTACGGAGCTCATTCCAATATTGGATTGAGGGCTCATGATTTATTCTCCTTTCTTTTTCTAAGGAGGTCCACTAATACCTAGCATGCTCTTTCATTTTTGTATGCCACTACTAAATGAGAATTGAGTTCTGCTAAATTCATTTTTGTATGTCACTGCTAAATGAGTATTAGTTTGATTGTTAATTTCATTTTTTTGTTCATGTTTTTGGTGACCATTATAGAGACACTGATGCAATAATCAGCAACTGGTGGTACATAAATCGTAGTATTAAAGAAATGGAGCAAAAAGTTTTAGCACATGCGTGTGCCAAAGTGTTAATTTTTCTTTCTTTGTAGGCTCTTTCCTATCATTATGGGTTGTTGATTAGATAATGCCCAAATTAATTAGTCTTCGTGTTTAAGAAATATTAGCTATGTCTTTTTTTATTTTTTTTATTTTTTTATTT